TTTTTAAAATATTAAAAATATTTTAAAATATGCCTTTTTTTCAAGGTAGGATTAAAGTAAACATAGTTTCAACTAATGCAGATCTCAAATAATACACTTACACTATCTACCCATCCTTCTGAGAGTGAATCTGGCTTACAATGTCATTGATATCCTTCAGTCAATTAAGACCCTTCTAAGTACTGCCTCTCCATGTTGGGTGGGGTCATTACTTTAGTGGATTCTTAAATTGCTAAAAGTTAAACTTTATGCGGATACCTTGTGTAGAAGTATTCACAGAACCTGAAGTTCTCTGGTATTTTGTTTTTTTCATATTCAACACCAAAAAACTGAGAAACTAAAATGTTCCTTAAATGCTTTTGGAGCGATTTTTCTTCTATCATCATAGATATGGAAAAAATTCACTTAATGTAGATCTTATTATTTACAATATTAATGCAGATACAAGCAGTCAGCCATCTATTGAGAGAAGTCCGAGTCAAGGTCTGTTAACACTGTTCTCCAGATCGTGTTATTTTGCACCTCTTCTGTGAAGGCCAGGAAAATGGCTTCTTGTAATGTCCTGTTTTAAGTAGTATGATTCAAAACAACACAATGTTTTAGCAGTTGTTTTATAGAAATACATTGCATACCTACATCACAACTATAGATAGTATGCTGGAGAGTATCAATTCAATGTGTTTTGGGGAGGAGATTTCTCACCTGCCTGTCAGGGTTGTGTCACAGTCATGGGATGTCGTGGGAGATCAAGTAAGTACATGTGTGTTCTTTGTGTTTTCATCATAGTGCCACATGAATGGATGCTGTGTACCTGGTACCCCAACCCACAAGAGTTAGTGTGCCTGATTCTTGGTTTTCAAGTGCTGGACGTTTTGTGATACCCCATCCAAAAAAAAAGTTTTTCTGTTATATCTAAAAATGCATTTTATTTCATACAGAGAAATTCAAACAATAGTGTTCAGCTTTACGCAAATAGAACACCACATTGACCTGTTTTAAACTATTCCAAATATTCATATTATGTTAGCTTTCCCAGGTGGGTTCCCATGTGCTTCAGAAAAATCTGCTATGGCTTGCTAGGTCTCTGTGTCAATGGAATCCGAAGTTTGTAAGTGTTTCAGGAAAAGAGAAGTAGTAGGTAAGCCATTGTGTAAGGTTTAATCAGAACTTAGGTTAGTTACCTCCTTTATACAACAAAGACAACAAATCACAAACGTTATCCCTCTCTATAATCGAAAATAGACACTTAAATCTTCGTTAGATTTTTCTAAAAGTTGATTAGTTCTTGACACCAATAAATTATTTTCAAGTTACATTTTGACTTACAGTTATAATTACTGCTGTATAAAGGAAGAATGTTTTGTGGAAATGATGGAGTTCCCAGTTCTCTGAATAGCTTTATTAAAAGATCTCTGAAGTTGGGACAAATATTGGCATTTCCTTCCCCTCACCTTTATTCTATGGTCCAGCTGTCTCTATAATTTCTCTCGACTGTTAATTGCAGGTGTGTCTCCAGTAATCCAGAGACAATTAAATGGTTGGGGCCAGGTATGAACTTTATGCAGTTAATATTTCCCTTAAACTTGTTACCATTTGAACTGTGGCAAAATTAAATGCCTCAAGTTGACTCGTCATTTTGAAGCTTGTCTTTGAGCAGAAAATGGAACTGAGCCTCTGTTACCATCTTGCCTCACTAGCAGCAGCAACAACCCCACTCAGCCATTCTCAAAATCTCCTCAGATGCATTCCTCCCAAGAAAATAAGAGATGGTCTGCAGGTTTGTTCATTAACTCAGGTTGGTCACTCCTTTTCTCTTTGGAAGGAATATTGAAAAATCTATAGCAGGGGAGAAATATGTTGCAATTTTATTTTACTACAAACTGAAAAAATTTTGGCAAGCTACTTTCATAACTATTTCTGTCTTAATACAAAGCTTTCAATTTAATAGAGTAACACTGTTAATTTACTAGAGCAGTGCCATTTGGTTACCTTTTTAAAAACGGAGTCTCATAATTTTTCAGTGACATTTGGAGACACAACCATAATGTAAATTAAAAAACCTATCTACAAAACTATTGCTTGTGCATAGAACACATTTTTGTTGTTAGTTTAGAATGTGAAGGAAGATCCAAATAAATTAAAACTCATTTGAGACTAATTACATATTTGATGATGATTTTTTATTTTTATTTTGTTTGCGCTTAACCCAAATCCCCTTGGAAAAGCAGATATAATTAAATTTTAGCAAACCTTTCACAGTGTTGTTCTTATAGCATGTAACCACTTTGGGATTTAATGGTTAATTGCATGATAGTCTTACATAATGGGAGACTTTCCTTGATATTTCTAAAATCTCAGAGATTCAACTGTAGTAATAAGTCTTATGATGTGAATGCCACTGTACAAATGTAGAAACTGAGGTGTAAGAGGTAACCAAAAGTTTTTTTTTTTCTTTCAGTGAGTTATACCAGTCATCCTGGGAAAGAGAATTATAATTGAAAGGAACAACACTATTGTAAGTATTCATTACATTATTTTTTATGTGGTTTTAATTCATACTTGACTGAGCAATTAGAAAGGCTGATTCTAGATACTCTAATCAAACAAATTAATAGGCATCTGTACACATACACACACACACACACACGCTTACAGTTGACATTTAAAGTCTCAGAATTTAAATATGCATTAATTTAATACCTGAGGCTTTTGTAAGAAGTATAATGGTGCCTGTCTTGTATTTCTGGAGCATCAACTACCTTATATATATATTTTTTGGTTTCTTTGTAATGCTAAGTACAAAACTCAAAAATAAACATTTGGGTACATTTTAACAAATGTATAAACTGAAATTAAAGCCTCTGAATATGACTCGATAATACAAGAGCATTAGGGTCATTTGGATATTGAGATCAAAATGAGGGGGTGGGGGTGTTAATATAGTCCCTGGATAAGAGAGTTTCTTATTGAATATTCACTTTTAAATATAGGATAAAATTCTGTAAAAGATACTTTAAGAAATACGTCAGTTAAATTTTGCTCTCCCTATACTTTGGTTCCAGATTTGATTTTAATATACTATCATTGGTTTGACTGTTGCTTATGACAGGATAGTTACTCAAGAACTATAGTACAACACAGAGGCATTTAAAGAATCATTTCAGATCTTCCTTGTGCATGGAATGCTTCAAAAATAATTTGGAATCCCTACAGAATCTATCAGTTTGAGTCTGTGGAACAGTACCAAAATGAACAAGAAGTACTAAGTTCTTTTTATAGATGAAAAAATTTTAAGATATGCATTTCTTATGAATTATCATAGTTTAGAATATGAATGACCTTCAATGAATTTACTAAGATACTAAGGAATATATTTAGCAGTTCATGTGACTACTGTATTTAGCAGTCCAAATAGGTATTAGACTTCCAGCCTGTTAAGTAAAGTATCTTGAAATACTTACATGGCAAATCTCTCAAAACTAAAATTAAATAGATTTGTAAACCCCTCACACAGGAGAAAGAAATAGTTAAAATTCTATTAGCTAGCCTCTTGTTTTCAACCTGTGAATTTAGTTGTTTCTTAAAAGCAATGAAGAGCCCTCTGAATATCATTTTCATGTCTCAGGATAGTTCTTACTCATCAGCCTCATTGGATAGTCACGCCTTTTAAGGTATTAAGTTTTCTACAACAGTCAAAAGTTTTCAGGGAAAGCCTTGTTTGTCCAAACCAAACATGAGTTTAAGAGAAGTGTCATTAATAAGATTATACACACAATCGTCCATTATTCCTCTCTCAACCACTAAAAAAAAAGAAAAAGAGTACTGATTATACTTAGAAAAGGGTTTTTTTTTGTATTTAATGCAGTGAATGTATAGTCAACATTACCATCGAACTAAACATGTGAAACTTCATAGAACGAAACAGAAATAAGCCATCTGTTAATGGTTACTATCTATTAGGTACATGAGGTTGTAGAACATCAGGCCTGTAGACATTTGAGTAGACACTGTCGGCGTGGAACATAAATCTCAGACAAGATGTAATCAGAAGTTATTTCAAACAAATTATCCTATCAAACTTTCTGTAGTTACATTAACTTCATGGAATATTACATCTTAGCAAGAAACAGTGACGGTATGTGGATATAAGCATGTCATTACAAACATGATGCACTAAATAGAGCATATTGAGGTCAAAGCCTTTCTGTAGAAAGGGAATTTAATTGGCATTCTTTCAACCATAGTGTATAAACAGATTAAAATAGTTCTATCATAAGAAATAGTATTTAACAACATAGCTTTAAAATAAAAATACTTTAAAAATCAGCTTTGATGAGATTAAATTTATTTTAAAGAGTCTAGAGTGAAATATATATTTCTTGCTTCTGGTTTTTCTACATTTTCCAGCATAACCCCCACCTTCACTCTATCCCAGTATATTATTAATAAAATAGTGCAAAACACTGTAGCAATTTCAACCAAGCTTAATCCCCTACCAAGTCTGGGGAAGTATAAGACATTCTCACCAAATTCTCTCTTTCCAGAGGTATGCTCCCTTGATATAACAGGGAGTTAGGTACAAAAACTACCATAAATCTTGAGAATGCGATTTTTAAGTATAGATTCTATAGTAAGTAGTGAAACATTTTTAAAGGCAAACTCCCCTTCCCCATAAGCAGTTTATTTTACAAAATAAGTTTTCATGCATTCATATTATCAAGAATGATTATTTCTATAAATGAATGTAATGAAACACTGGCATGTCACTTAGCACATTGCATTCTCCTCTACATTAAAATTCACATTAATAACAAAAATCCTAGTAGGCATTAAAGCATTTGAGTAACCTAATGAGAAAGCAGATACTTTTCTCTGAGAACACTTGAGTATTAAATATTTTTAGATTCACAGAGGTGTAATCTGACACCAAAAGCAATGTGGATTTAGTTTGCTAGTATGTTTGACTACTGAAATTTTGCTAATTTGCTCAGTTGGTACAAATTAAAATAGTAGGTATAAAAATTCAGATAGGCAATCATTTATAAACCTGGCAGTATTTATGTGTAATCCTGTAGAGATTTTAAGGTTTTAGATGGAATGATAGAAGGTCTGGAAGTTTTCTTTGTAGGTTTTTAGAGTGTAGAAGATTGTTTTGAGGGGTGAATGTACTTTTACTCATTAGCTGAAAATCAGCCTAGTCATGCCTAAATTATTTGCTCAGGAATAAACATTGGGATCTGAAGTCAGAATTTATGTTAAATTGAAATGCACCTGTTCCATTATTCACGTTTTGGGACTCCCCCTCCCTTTTGAAATGTATAAAACATAGAAAATTGTAATGGATTACTTTCAGATAAAAAAAATCACATTAAAAAAAACTAAAATCAAATGGACATTTACATTTTACGTAGATTTAATCAGAGCATAGCTAAGCACTTAATCTGATCTGCCCCTTCCACTTGTAATTAGAGAAGTTTGTATTTCCCAGTGTTAACCATTCTTACATATGTTGTTCCAATGTGTTACATTATTAGTCACACCTAACAAGGCTTTCACACAGCAATAACTAAACCTTTATCAAATTGATTCTGTAAATGGAAGTACATTTTCAAAGACAAATGTCCTTGTACACTATTTACAAATTCTCTTCACCACGATAAAAAGGCAAAATAAATAAAAAGCAGAAAGAAAGGAAACACTGCTGAGGCTTGAAGGCTTTTTCTTTTATCTTCCCAAACAGATGCTGGTCTTCTCAGTGCCGGGAGCTAGCTAGCCAAGATTGTTTTTCTTCCTTTTACATGGGCTATGAGAGGGATCTGGTTTCAGTTCTTGGTATTGCACCTGTTTAAACAGAGTTCAGAGAAAGACTGGTCAGGTGGCTACTTTCTGGCAAAGGAAGGAAAAGCAAAGAAATGAAAGACTGCTTAAGGGGGAAAAAGTGCTCACTCTAGAAGCTGTATGAGATCTGCATCCTAGCTGCAGAGAACAATAGAATGATACAGTAAGAGTCTGAAGGGAAATCCTGCCAGAAACTACATGAGAGCTCTGATGAGAACTCTGGTAACAGACTGGGGTCTTCACTGTCCGTAAGACATTACACTGAAAACAAAACCATCTCCATTTATTCTGAAGGGACAGATAACAGTTCTTTGCAATTTATTGTTTGTATAATACAGGCTTAATCTCCATCCACCCCACTCATGTCTGATACCAAATCAAAAACTCAACTGAAACAAAGGAAAAAGGTATCACTGTAACCCACCTTCAAGATTTTGATAAAAACATTTCTCATTTTACACTGAAAATAGTTGATTAATGGCATTAACATCAAAGTATTTAAAAAGATTGAGATGTATCCCAGTCTTCATTCCCCCACCACTGCTCTCCAAAATATGCATCTTTAAAACTCAATTTGTGCAAATTATGCAAAATGGCACACTTTGCTTTTATCATTTAATATTTCCTATTTCCTCCCTTCACAGATTCCAGCGAAACCTTCCTGGGAGGAGGATTGTCCCTGACAGATCTGGCAGGTTCTTTTTGAAATATCCCCCGCCCCTCATGCTCCATTCTTATCTATAAGTTCTTGGTTAGCACCCCAAGTGGGCTAAATTTCTGAGTGGCAAAATCTGCTACAGGCTTTATTAACTTGACCTGTCTCTTCTAAAACCTTTGAAATTAAAAGAATATAAAAGTTAAAAACCAGTGCTACACTAAAATAGTAGTAATAATAATGACATCTACATACCACTTGTATATCTGAAGGGACTCTAGAAAGGAAGTCAAGTAGTTCATTGTTATCGATTGCATAGGGACACCGTAGCTTTTTTGTAAATTTATTGATGCCTGAAAAATAGATCAAACATTATTGTAATCCCCAAAGTTTGGAATTATAGAAATACATTTCTGGCAAAAGTATTGAAGTAATTTGAAAAGCTAGCTTGAGCCCCTTTAGCCTTGACTGAATGAATCAGTAACCCCAGTTTTCTCCCCCGCCTTACTTCCTGTCCTCTTTCCTTCTTTAGTCCCCTTCCTCCCTCCTTCCCAACTCAATGGCTGGTTTTTTTTTCTCTTTTACTTTAGCAGCTTCCTTCACAGAAAAAAGACTTTCTATCTGGGAAACAAAAAGCACATAGCAAGAATGAGCAAATGACCCTATCTTGCTTTCCCCTTCAGTGTTACAGTAGTTAGAAGCTTTGCTTTAGTGTTCCATCTGTGTTGAAACTTGTCTCCCTACATTTTGGATTGGGTTTGTTTTTAAGGCAAGAAGTCTAATTTACTGGTTTTCTCTTTTTCAAAAGGTACTTTTTTTTTTTTTTAGTTGTGTGTGGTATGTGGGGGTATTGCTATTTTGCAAGCTAAATGTTTAAAAGAAACATGACCTTGATTTTATATTTTAAAGACCTAAAATAAGAAAGGATTTACCACCAGCTTAAAAAAAAAAAAAAAAAACTTTGAAGATAGCAATATAAAAGGATCCTAAAACTATCTCCTCCCTTGAACAGACCACATCTACAGCTGTTTATAGAACGATTTTCTCTGAAAACACTCTAGAACCTGGCTGAGTGATGACTGCACATCAGGCAAGTAAGAGAAGGCCTACACTGAAGCAGGTAGGAGAGGCCAGGACCCAGTCTTGCAACAAAGCCCAGCCCCAGTGCAGCAACCACAGTCTGGCAGGAACTCCAAATCCAGAGCTCCTTGAGGAGCAAAGGATTTGAACCCCACATCAGGCACCCCCAACTTTTAAGACTTACACTTGAGGGATAAGCCCCCCAAAACATCTTTTGTTTTATTGAGAATAATTGGCATTCTTCACTATATAAGCTTAAGGTGTACACCATGGTTTGATTTACATATATTGTGAAATGATTACCACCATAGTTAACATCTGTCATCTCACATAGAGGCAAAAAGGAAAGAAAAAAAATTTTTTGTGATGAGAACACTTAGGATCTGTTCTCTTAACTTTCCTGTGTGACAGACAGCAGTGTTAACTAGCCATCATGTTGTACATCACATCCTGGTACTTACTTTGTAACTGATGTTTGTGTGTACCACTGCCTTCCTCTGATAGCCACAAATATCTTTTTCGTTTGGTGTTTTTTTTTTAATACAGTTGACATACATTATATTAGTTTCGGGTGTACAACATAGTGATTAGACATTTATGTAACTTCAGAAGTGAGCACCCCGATGAGTCTTGGACCCATGTGACACCATACGTAGTCATTACAATATTATTGACTCTGTTCCTTAAGCTATACTTTATGGCCCCGTGACTTTATAACTGCCAGTTTGTGCTTCATCTCTTCACCTTTTCACCCATCTGCCTAAACCCCTTCCCATCTGGCAATATGCAGTTTGTTCTATATCTTATGAGTTTGTTTCTGTTGTTTATTTTGGTTTTAAGATTGTACATATAAGTTACTTACTTCACTTAGTATAATAACCCTCCATGTTTTCACAAATGGCAAGATTTTATTCTGTTTTATGGCTGAGTAATATTCTGATGTATATATGTACCATAGCTTCTCTTTTATCTATTGACACTCGGGTAGCTACCATATCTTGGCTATTGTAAATAACACTGCAGTGAACATTTCTTTCTGAATTAGTATTTTGGATTTCTTTGGATAAATACCCAGAAGTGGAATTGTTGGGTCAAATGGTAGTTCTATTTTTAATTTTTTGAGGAACCTCCAAACTGTTTTCCATAGTGGCTGCACCAATTTACAGTCCCACTAACTGTGCACAAGGGCTGCCTTTTCTCCACATCCTTGCCAACACTTGTGGATTTATTGATAGCCATTCTGACAGGGGTGATTTGATATCTCCTTGTGGCTTTCATTTGCATTTCTCTGATGAATAGTGACCTTGAATGTCTTCATATCTCTATTGGCTATCTGTATGTCCTTTTTGGAGAAATGTCTATTCAGGCCCTCTGCCCATTTTTTAATCAGATTTTTTTTTTTGGTGGGGGGGCTGTTAATTTGTAATAGTTCCTTATATATTTTGGATATAACTCCTTAAGTACATTGTTTTTGTTTTGTTGATGGTTTCCTTTCCAGTGCAAAAACTCATTTGATACAGTCCCATTTGTTTATTTTTTCTTTTGTTTACCTTGTCTAAGGAGACATATCCAAAAAAGTAAGAGTGATGACAGTTTACTGCCTACATCTCCAGCAACCGTCCATCTTACCTAGATGCACTCTCTACTGGTTTCCACAGCCAGATGTTATGAGCACTCCTTCCGGGTACTGGTGCCCCAGGCTGGGGAGCCAGGTGTGGGGGTTGGACCCTTCCCTCCTCAGAGAAGACCTCCTCAGCTGAGATATACCTCCTGATTCTTTATCACCATACCGTGAGTGTGGGACCTGCACATTCTGCATCTCCACCCATCCTACCAGTCTCATCGTGGCTTCTTTATATCCTTAGTTATAGGATATTGTTCTGTTCAGCCAATCTTTAGGTGGTTCTCAATGATGGTTGTTCTACAATTTATTTGGATGTAGTCATAGGAGGAGGAGTACAGGTTTACTAACTCTGACATCTTAACCAGACGTCTTTTTTGTTCTTTTTTAGATATGTGAGCTCATACAAGTATGTCTTTCTGATTTATTTCACTTAGCAAAATGCCTTCAAGGTCCATCAAATATTGTCACAGATGCGAGGACTTCCTCATTTTGTATGGCTGAAAAATATTCCAGTGTGTGTGTGTGTACATACACACACACATATACTACTTTATCCATTGATAGGTTGTTTCCATTTTTTTGGCTATTGTAAATGATGCTATGAACATGGGGGTGGGCAGATATTTTTTCAAGTTAGTGTGTTCATTTCCATTGGAAGTGGAATGACTAGATTATATGATAGCTCCCTTTTTAATTTTTTGAAGAACTTCCATACTGTTTTCCATAGTGGCTGTACCAATTTACAATCCACCAACAGTGCACTTTCCTCCATATCTATACTAGCATTTGTTATTTCTTGTCATTGCGACAACATCCATTCTGACTGTGTAAAGTGATATCTCACTGTGGTTTTAATTTGCATCTCTCATGACTAGTGTTGTTGAACACCTTTTCATGTACCTGTGGCCATTTGTATATCTCTTTCAGAAAAATGTCTATTCAGGTTTTTTGCTATTGAGTCGTATGAGTTCTTTATACATTTTGGATACTAACCACTTATCAGATTTATGGTTTGCAAATATTTCTTCCTATTCCACAGGTTGTCTTTTCACTCTGTTGATGGTTTCTTTTGCTGTGCAAAAGCTTTTGAGTTTGATATAGCCCTACCATTTTATCGTTGCTTTTGCTGTAGGTGTGATTCCAAATCATTACCAGGACCCATGTCAATGAACTTTTTTCCTGTTCTCTTCTAGAAGTTTCATGGTTTCCAGTCTCATATTTAAATATAATTCATTTTGAGTTATTTTTTTTTGTGAGTGGCATAAGATAGCGATCAAGTTTCATTCTCCTACCTATGACCATCCAGTTTTCCTAGCACCATTTCCTGCAGAGACTGTTTTTTCCCCATTAAGTATTTTTGGCTCCCTTGTCAAATATTAGTTCACCATATATGTTTGGGTTTATTTCTGGGCTCTCAAAATTGGTCTATTTTTCTGAAAATACTTACTTTTGAAAACCAATAGGACACACATTCACGAGATCCACGAGACCCACAAGACTGTAGCAGTCTGAGAAATAGTTCTTAAAGGGCTCATGCACTTGTACTCACCTGCCCCAGGGCCCAGTATAGAAGCAGCCTATCGAGGGACACCCAGACTTTGTGTGGAAGAGGCTCGTTTGTTTGTCTTGGAACATAGTCCTAAGAGACGGGCATCTGATTTGACACACAGTCAGGGGCCTGCTGGGGTGCTTTCCAGGGATGGGCTTTGACTTATCTGCCTGTTTCCAGCTGGCAGTACCTTTTTTTTCTTTCCCAGCAGTCACCATCTGTGTGCTGTCCATGTGCCTTGCTCCAGTCAGTTGGCACCATCATCACGCCATCCCTCTGCCATACTCCAGAGCACCGTATCTTCCCAAAGGGAGCTTTTACACAAATCTGGTGCCCTGGTTTTATGTCTGGATTTACTTCTGGAAGGTAGTTCAAGACAGTGATGTAGGAAGAGCCTGAATTTACCTCCTATAGCTACACATGGAACAATTTCTGCTAAAAAAAAAGATCTGAAAACTAACTGAGCAAATCCTTCACATCAGGCAAATGTGGGAAAAGCCATAGCAAAGTAGGTAGGAGAGGCTGAAATGCATTCTAGCCATAAACCCTACTCCTGGCATGGTGACCCACAAGTGGGAGGAAACAAACCGAGAGCTTCTTCCTGAGGAGCAAAGAGTTCATACCCCATATTAGGCACCCCAACTTTTAAGACTTGCACCTGAGAGACAAACTCCAAAATATCTGGCTTTGAAAACTACCTGGGCTTGGGTCGACAAGATCCAAGGGCCATAAGTACTGAGAGAGGGCTCTTAAAGGATTCAGGCAGATTCACCCATCCCCAGGCACTGCACAGAAACAATTGTTTGAAAAAAACCGAGACTTTATGTGAAAGATTATTTGCTAATCCTAAAGCCATGAATAAACAATGGGGGAAAGGACAGTCTCTTCAATAAATGGTGGAAAACTGGACAGCCACATGCAAAAGAATGAAACTGGATCACTATCCTACACCAAATGCGTAAAGCAACTGCAAATGTATAATTATAGACTTGACTTTAAGACCTGAAACCATAAAACTCTTAGGTGGTAAGCTCCTTGACACCAAAAGCAAAAATAAACCGGTTGGGCTACATCAAATTCAAATCCGTCTACACAACAAAGGAAACCATAAACAATGAAAAGGCAACCTACTGAATGGGAGAAAATACTTACAAACCAAGTATCTTATTAGGGGCTAACATCCAAAATGTATAAAGAACTCAAACAACTCAATAGCAATAAAACAGACAATTAAAAATGGACAGAAAATCTGAACAAACATTTTTACAAAAAAGAGATACAGATGGCTAACAGGTACATAAAAATATGCTCATTACTAAGGGAAATGCAGATCAAAACTATAAGGACATATCACCTCACAACTGTTAGAATGGCTGTTACAAAAAAGACAAGAAAAAAGTGTTGGCGAGGATGTGAAAAAAGGAATCTTCGTGCACTCTTAGGTGAGAATGTAAATTCGTACAGCCACTAGGAAAAATAGCATGGAGGGTCCTCAAAAAAATTAAAAATGGAACTACCATATCAAGCAATTTCACTTCTGGGTATTTATCTGAAGAAAACAGTAACTTGAAAAGATATTTGCATCCCCATGTTCTTTCAGCATTATTTATAATAGCCAAGACTTGGAAACCAAAGTGTCCACCACTGGATGAATGGATAAAGAAAATGTGAGATATATATATGTGTGTGTGTGTGTGTATATATATATATATATACACACACACACACACCATATATAAATGTGATATATGTATATATTCCATATATATATCACATTTTCTTTATCCATTCATATATATTCCATATATATATATAGAGAGAGAGAGAGTGACTTGTGTCTGTATGGATGGACCTTGACAGTATTGTCTTAAGTGACTTAAGTCAAAAAACCAAATATGGTATGATCTTATTTGCACATGGAATTTAAAAAACAAACAAAAAAAGATATAGAGAACAGATTGGTGATTACCAAAGTGGTAGGTGGAAGAGGTCAAAAGGTACAAATTTCTAGTTATGGAGATGTAATGAACAGCATGGTGACTATTGTTAATAGTACTGTATTACATATTTGAAAGTTGCTAAAAGAGTAAATCTTAAAAGTTCTATCATAAAATAAAAATGTTTCCATTTCTACATCTCTGGCATTGAGATTTTTAGAAACCAATTTTCCTTTTAAATTACAAGAAATTTACATTTAATGCTTGCAAAAGATGCTGCCGTGATTGACTTACTTGGATCACTTCTTAGATTAGAACAGCCAAGAACCGTTAGAGATGAGCAATATCTACCCATACTACATTATTCAACAGTTAATCCTCTGTACTACCTGAAGAGCAAATACGGATAAGGGGCAAATGCAGATGAAATTGGAGCCATTATGCAAGCAATTTAATGAGACAGAAATGTCAAAATATTGTATAAAACTAGAAGTATCTATTCTACATATTCTGTTTTATAATGTAGAATTACAATGGGATAAGTCTATTCTCTTAAATGTATATTGCACTTAAATGACCAAGGAGATACATATAAAAATATATATGAAATCGACAGACTGGTAAAAACTGGGTCATAAACTAGAGCATCTTGTCTCTTCTTCAGGGAGTTCAGCAGAAAATTTTCTTCTGCAATCATAATTTTGGTTTCTGTGTTCTTGCGTGAAACCCATCTTGTAATTCTGGTTAATATTTCATCGGTCACCTACCACTAAAGGAACACTGTTCTTGTTTTACTTTATTGGATGAAACAAGAGGCCTAAACACGTTCTCTAAAAATTATGTTTAAGACAGCTAGCCAGTAAGGCTACCCCAGGTGACACAGCCAGATGTCCACCATGGGATCCAGTTTCTGAGAACCTGGGGAAATGAAATCAGATTTACCTCCTATCATAACTGAGATGGCAGGTCTGAACCCAGGTAGGTTAGAGGTAATAAACAGTCACACCTAATGCCTTACCCTAGTTCCTTCAATAAAACAGCATCTGTTTTAAATATCAGAGGAAGGAGAGAAAAATCAGGGCTTGAATATACAATAGAGAAACAACACGAAAATGCCCTAGTACAGTGAAAGTACTGTCTTAGTTGAAACCATTTCTTTAAACTATAAAATAAAGAAAGTATAAAATAATCACTATTCCCCCCATCTTCTCTCCCTAAGATATAAAGGTAATGACAGTGAGGGTAAGGGGTTCAAAAGCTCTCACTCACGATATGACAAGATAGGCCAAAAAGAATAGGAAGATAGGAATTTTTAAACCAGAGGGCTTGAAGACATCAACCCTTCTCATTTTGTTCCAGCATATTTCTTTAACGCCTTAAAAAGACGAGAATAGGACGTTTTGTTCTCTTTGCTTTAGTGTAAGCACATGTTTTCTGGAATTAAGACCCATTTTGGTTCTTTGCATTTTGTATGGGTTTAACTATCTTAGGTGTATGCAGGCCAGGGGCAAGTAGAGAATTCTACTTCTACCCAGTCTTGTTTATTTCGAGAGATATAGATGTGTGTGTGCGCGCGCGCGCACATAAACAAAAATATGTATAATTATTTTGAGATATGTATATAAAAACAAAAAAGATATATATATAATTAATGTCATAGTTTTATATGTAATCATGGAGACTGAGAATTAAATTTTCTAAACCAAGAATTTTGTCAGATAAGGGGAAAAAAAACCCACAAAACTATGAAGAATGCTGAAACTACCACCTCAATAGAGTCTAGGTACTTGGGAACTGTTGGCATGCAGCATAAGTGCATTAAATATTAAGACTCCGAAATATCACGTTTAAAGAGGGTTTTTGCAGAAGCATTCTTATTTCATACACATAAACCAGGTTTCTTGTTCTTAAGCGGCCTGTCAATGCCAAGGATTCTTTTCCTGCATCCTAAAGGTGACCTCTTAAACAGGCGGCCATATATAGTACCTGTTTACAGACACTTCCACAAGATAAAGCACCACAGCACAAAAGCATATTGTCTTAAATGTACCATATGGGTTGAAATGCCTCTGTTTACATATAAGTAGTGAAAGTAAATCAGAGTCATATCTAGACGAAGCTACACTTTGATATATGAAGAATCTGTACAACTATGTTTATAGTATGATGGAGCTTATGGTGCCAGATAAGAAAAATGCATTTTGCAGGTAGACCTAAATCTTTATACTGTTGCGATTTTTAACCAACCTGTCTCTTTTCATCATGGAGTAGCTTCATGACCGTAAATATAGGGAACTACTGACAGTATAACTCATCCCTTAAAAATAGTTTGTTTTTAGCAGCTAAGACAGTTTAAAAAAAGGCTTTACTTACCCCAGACAAGGACAATGTATCTCAATGGAATGAAGTACAGGATGACTGTGAACATACAGAGGGCTACAATAGCCAGCCAGCTTAAGAATGGGACGGTCCAGTTGAAAGTACTGAATGAGAAATGAACACATCAGCAATCGGCATTTCTTATAACTTAGAAAGGCCCCAAGACACTTCAGGAAAATATGAAATTGTACATGATGTAGATAAATGTTAGTATTTTTTATTTTAACTTCCTGGTAATGAACATTATGTTCACTTGGGGTAACGTTTGTCCAGGGCAGTTTTTCATCCACTAAAGGATGACTATTAAGATGTTTTCTTCCCTGTACTGTGCCTCAGCATAACACAGAAATTATTCCTTAGCTTTGTGGCATATGGCTTGCTTTTTACGTCTCTCTAGGTCAAATGTTCCCTAAAAATGTTTTTTGGGTTTTTTGTTTTGTTTTAGTAAAAGAGCCAAAGTTGGATCCATCTGGTTGTCTTGTTTTCACTAATTCTTAGGGTCTGGCTTTTCTGTCTTTGTCTTTATCCTCCCATAGCCAGAGTGAGCATCCTATAGCTATTGCCAGGTAAAGGATCATGAATCCCCTCCCTTGCTGGCACCTGTGCTTCCCTTGCTTCTGCCCACTTATGGAGAGAACAGAAGGCTGAGGGTCTGCTTGCTTTCCTGTGGCTTAGCTCAGAGCCATCCATCACACCATTCCATGTACGAGGGCACTGGCTCTTAGAAAACCCTTCTGGGCAGCCTCACTGAAGGGTTCCCTGTGTTCTTTCTCTTCTTGGAAGGATAAATGTCAAAGAATCCTTACCAGTGTAGCTAATGTCAGGGGGGAAAGATTGCCCTTTTCTCTTTCTACAATGCATTATAGAACTAAATCTAGAATATGATCTCCCCCTCCCCCCACAAAGAGACGCAGTTCAAGAAAGTTCTGGAATGATTAAATAGTAACAAGATGTGGTAATTATAGAGGCTTTTCACTTGTACTTAAAGATTCCTTCTGAATCTGCTTTCTGGATAAATTTTATCCCATGTGACCCCAGGGGAATTTCTCTTTTTCAGTATTCAAAAAATTGTTGTGCAGAAAAGATGGCTCCTACAAGACTAGATCCTATGCCATGTTCCTATACGTCAGCCTGTACTTATATCTATATCTCTGTCTTTACCTATGGAAAGTTCTGTAAAATGCAGTTTTCCCCAACGCTGGTCCACAGCCAGGATCTGGTCATATCCTTCAACTGGACATGATGTTGTCCAGCCAAGCACCTGTTTTGAGGTCTCCTACCACCCAGAGTTACAAAGACGCCTCTTCTCCTCAGGCATCACTAGCCTGACCTCAGAGCTGATCCAGGATCTTCTGGTATAAATTAGCTGCTTCTGTCAGGTAGCAACACCCAGTGTACTTCAGAAAAAGGACAACACTCAGTAGGGAAATGCCCCATTTAGGACTTTACCCTGTGCTTCTGTGAATAGGGAGGGTGTGGAGAACATCCTTAGAGATGGGAAAAACATGGAGAAGAAGAAAAAGTGGGAATCAATCTTCAGAAGTCTGAGACTGAAGGTTGCTTACAGGCTCACTTGGGAGAAAGTGGTTGTTCTGTCTAGTATGAGAAAGTGGAAACTCAGCATCTATGCGTATGTGGAAATGTATTAAACAAAAATTATACAAAATAAAATTCATTATCCCTTGAAACATGAAAAGCACTAGATGAATGACTCGCACCTATAGTTTAAATAATTTACCACTTTCAAATTCTATGCAAGGATCTACATCTACAGAACACTTTTGTTTATGAAAAATAAACAATAGATATATGAAACTAGGAAAATGTAGGCTTATCTGGATGTACAACGCCCCCTCGTAAATAGACCATTTAGCAGTCATTATGTAGGCCAATTTTTTCAGTTTAGTAGTATATTTTTTTTACTGATAATCAACTGTAAATCACCTTATTGTTTTTATAATTAAACAGTTGTTTTAAAAAGTATTAGTGAATAAAATTATTTTAAGTAAAACACAAGTAATAAAATTAAGATTGTAAGTTTCTTAATTTTGCATTAGATCTCAATGAAGCTATATTCCCTTATTTTAGAAAATTAAGAAAAGGAAATTCTTTTTAAAATTATAAATGTTTGCATTTTTAAATGATAGCATTAGTTTATTTCATCTATAATGATCTCAGCTAATTAAATATACAAATTTGAAAGAATATTTTTACAGGATGCTATATATGATTTTTTAAAATTTTAGAGTACTTGATGAAACTATAACTTAACCAATAATAAAATGTAGGGTGTCTTGATTACCTGAAATTCTAATTTTGCTTGGTTTATATCTTTCTATCACAATTCCATGTTCTGTTAAAGAACAAAGTCTTTCACTGTGAAAATGTGCTAAAATTTAGGACGGTGTTATTTCTTCAAAGCTACAAGTATGACTTCTTTCCAACCAATATGTTCTAAATTTCAGGAAGGAAATTGACAGAACTTTCGTAAAACCAAAGTCTGGCAGAAACAAAGTAAACAATGATGAAACCAAGCAATAGATCACCCAGAAGGAGTGTCCCCTGCCAAAAGAATGTGGCATTTCACCCTCTGAGAAACAAATGGACACTGTCCCACAGATGGCCAGAACTCATATCAGCATCACTTACTTCTTTATCCTTTCGCCAAAGGAAGCCACTTCATCTAGGATGTTCTGGACACTGATGCATACCTCCTGGATGGCATAGATTTTATTTATAAATCCCTTTTTTTCACTGTCCTAAAATATAATAAAGAGAGGTTCTGTATGAGTAATGGTATTTTTCAGTGCTTGAATTCTTTGAATTGTCCTTCTTATACTTTTAAACTTAAATAAACTTCATGTCTGCATACACACACACACACACACACACACACATATTTTTATATAAACATAAATATAAATGGATACACAGAGCCCATGAGAATTTCAAGATATGAAGGGAGGTGGAGGAGGAAGAGTAGCCAGCATCATGGTCCTGTGCTAGTACAAAGGTGGCTGCAAAGCATGAGACTCAAATTCTGTTGCTCATGCCCTTGTGAACAATCATTTCGGCCAAGGGAAGAAAACTGTAAAGGTCACGTCTCGGAATGACCAAATCCAGAATCTGCACTGACCTTGGAGTCACCATGACTTGCTACTAAGCAGACCCAGATTTTTGACAATACCACCCACACACTTAATGTTTGGTCTTGGCTCCAGATATTTCAACAGCAGAGAATGCTGGGCACATGAGAAGACCTGTGAGCAATGAAAACTGCAAAAAAACGGGAAGGTCAACTGAAATCCATTAAGTAGACGCTCCCTGAATATTACCTTGGATAGATGAGATACACATCAAGCCTGGTCCCCTTCTTTAGAATAATAGTCACAGACTTCATAATATAGTCGCATATGCTGTATTAGGGTTGAATCTAAACATTTTTCCCCTCTTTGTACTTAATTCTTCATTTTAAAACTTGTCCTGTATTTAAGCAAAGCTGGTGTGCTCCAGGAACAGGTGGATGGGGATTGAGCATAAAGCACCCAGAGAGTGGTGTGAGCCTGGGGAAGTGTGCACATTTTGTAATTTTAGACCCAGAGGAAGAAACAGTGGTGGCCTTTCACGATTGAAAATTCTGCTTAGTAGCCTGGCATCACAGGCACTTGCCTAGGCTGTTTGGTGGAGACCATCCAATCCTGATTCCATGACTCCATTCCTCCATGCCAGCTTGAATGTCTATGGAAATGTAGATCCAATTTCATTACTTTAACTTCTTTTGAACACTTGTGTACTGTGCCAGAACACTTGAGACCTCATGTGACAGTCAGTGCTTGCTGAAAGCAGCCAGGAAGCTAGAATAATAATGTCGTCATGTTGCACATTTACATACTGACTTCCATTTCAGAAGAGTCTAAAGCACTCTGCACTGTGAACACTTGGCTAAGGCTGGCATCCTGCCACCTTAGAAACCAAGGGCAAGTGAATGACAGGTGTGTGTGCAGCCTCCAAAGACAAAAGGGTAAAAGTGGCACTGAGGACATACATGGAGACCAGTTTTATAATATGATTTTCAGATACCAGTTACTTAGCGCCTTCAGTTTAAATTTAATTCCTATGGGAGGTACCTTGCTTATGCTGAAATGGACTGCAGACAGTGAGGTAGATTAGATGCATAAGGCTCAAAGTGTAAGGAAAATTGCATACTCTTGGAGTCCCCACTATCTTCAAAACTTGTCCTCGCTTATTACAGACATGGATGCAATTTTTTGTCTCTTTTCCCTCCCCAGTAATTAAACAAAATGCATTCATTTCATCTAAGTACTTTTGCACTTTAGAATAAAATGGATTACCAGTGGCTCCTTTTAGTTCCTCTTATACAAAGTTGGTCACCTAATCATCTCCATGGCCTTCAGTGTTCTCTCTTAAGCACCAGCTAAGTTCTTTCATGTCTATTAGGCCAAGTGTCCTTATAAATATTTTTCGACATACAGAATAAATCAAGCTGGAGTTGAAGCATGCTGGTTGCTTACACAATGAAAGCTCATTGAGAATAATGTCTTACCAGTTTGAAATTATGTGAAAAATATTTTCTTCATAATAACAATGAAATATGTAACATATTTAGGCATAACCTTAACAAGAAATGTACAGAAGCTAAACAAAGAAAATACATATGTTGTGTTTCTGTATTGGGACACCGAATATTAAAAGAATTTTTTTTTTTTTTTTAGTTAAATGTATAGGTTTAATGCAATTCAAGCAAATTTTAATGTGTCTGGAATGGAGTGAAATGGAGAGAATTTGTTAAAGTGATTTTAAAATTTGTTTGGAAGAATAAATGAGTATAACCAAGAAATTTTTGTAAAAGAGAAATAATGAGAAGGCATTTATTGTCCCAGACATTTAAGTAATTAAAATAAGAAAGATGAGCATTTAAAGAGAGATTGATGTATGATAAACTGCTATCATAAATAAGGAAGTATTATGTTACTGGTTAATTGGGTTAACTATTTGGGGAAAATTATGTTAAATTCTGCCTTCATATAATCTCAAATCTATTTGAGATAGCCCAAATCTACCTCAGCATCTACCTTAAAGAGATAGCCCCAAATACGTTCTAGATTAAAAAGCAAAAAACTAAAAATGAATTATAAAAACAAGAAAATATAGCATTGTCATTTACTGACCTTGGAATAGGAAAGAACTTTCTAAACATACAAGCAGTAAAGGAAATCACAAAAGAAAACTAATAGCAAAAGTTATATAAAATTAAAAAGATGTTAAAAGTCCTAAATATAAAGGGTGGTGGGAAACAATTAGTAATAAATATGACAAATTAAGAGATAGGATTTCCAATATATTCAATAAGCATTTGAAAAATACATATTGCAGTTTGATTTATAACAACAAAAAGAAAAATATCACTAACATGGTATAATTTATAGACTTATGAGATCACGAAATATTAAAAAGAACATTTAAAGAAAACAAAAATGCTTATCTAATAAATTTAGAAAGCAAGAAGTAAATGCGATAGAGTATAAGCTTAACTTGAAATTAGGTTGGAAAAAAGGTGAAGGGAATGTGTCAAAATATTAATGGAAGTTTATCTTCATACTTGTAATATTCACATTCTTTGCAATTAATATGTTTTAATTTACTTTTATAATCAGATCCTCCGATATCATTAAAGGAACATGGGTAGAAGAAATAAATGAATTAGTACTCATTGAGCATGGTTTTACATGGTTTTTTCTTAATGCATTTTTTATATTATTATACCTAGCTTACATTCTTTTTAGAAGGAAGGAGAATATAGACACTCATTGAGCATTACAAAGTGCTTTTCACATAGCACGTTTAATCCACACAACCGTCTTATGATATATTTTTCTTCACACTACAGCAGAGGAAACTGAGGCTCAGAAAAGTGACAGAGCTTAGGTTAGGATTATAACTGACCAGTCTGTTCCCTCTATAATATACTATGTGACTTTTCCATTCTACTCCAAAGGCTCAGAATCCCTGTGAGTTAAACAAGACTGAAAAACATTTAGAAACATATTGTAAACATCGTGATCAGCAAGAAAATGAAATCTGAAAATTTCATTCAAAAGTAGGAAGTGAAAGATGTGTTAGAAACCACCAGATTTAATTTCAATAATGCAGCATGCAAATATTAAAGGACCTTCATAAATAAGATATGTTTCTTAAGGCATCTACAAAGACTGTTTTTAGTAGATACGTTAAAATCTAAGTGCTGATGTATGATAATTGGCTAAAGAGTTTTAAAAATACACTCAGTCTTAATTTTCTTTGTTTTTTTTCTGCACTCTCACCCCACCTCTCACCCCTGACACCTGTCCACCAAAAAACAAAATAAGATGGTCTGTAATGTTGGCAAACTTTTGAAAAGCAAATGCTTTGGGATAAAAGTTTTATTTTAAAATCTCTTTCATCAAATTCTATATTCCTGCACTGTGGTCTCCAACCAATGAAGTAATTACTCTTTATATATAGTATATGACCCAAAACTGCAATGGATAATGGAATTGCTCTGTGTTGCATTTATATATTTCATACTTTTTTCACTAATGTTCAATACTTTATTAGTAGAGAATAAATTGGTACATTTCTTTTATTGTCGTTTTTGCTTTCCTTTATAAACCAGCAAGGATGAAAGAAATATCAATCATCCAAAGGCTTGGTAGCGACACAGATTTTTTTTTTTAATGCATTATTAAGGGGTTTTTTTTGAAGATGTAAAAAAAAAAAATTAGCCATAAAAGAGCTATAACTATAAATCTGAGAACATGTGAGATTTATATTGTACAACTTTTTCTAATGATTCTATATAATTTTTAAAAATCTTGTTATATTTTAAATAGTCCATAAAACATCAATAACTGCAAACATGAAGTACAGTGATTCTTTTATATTCACCTACTTTACTATCACGTATCACAGCAGAAAGTTAACTAGATTTTTTCCAAAGAAGTATCTACTTCCTCACTTTGAGATAGATATTTTGGAAAATCTAAAGACCTAACAATCAATAGGAGAAACTTACATATTTAAAGAGTCCTATTTATTGACTTGCACACCAAAATGACAAGTGCCCCCATTACTTGATTTGGTTTGAATGGAAACAAGAAGCCAATGTGATAGGTGTCAGAATGTATATTATGGGATCGGACTCCTCATGCATCCAGTGCATCCTGCCACGGTCTCGAATATACTAGGGGCCCTGCCAAAGTGGTCATTGTCAGCCCTGTTGACACAAAATGAATATGTTGAACACCTGTGCTGCATCAATCACAGCAGGTATGTAGAATATGTTTGCTTGAAATACTAACATAGAGTTTCATGTTATTTCACTTTCTAGGGTGAGATTGTCTTAAGAGTACATGGAGGTGGGGGATGGGGGTTAAATCTTACATTAAGTGAACATAAAATAGAACTGACCTGGCAAACCAAGGCATATGTTCACTTTACTTATTATTTCCTGGAGGAAGCATTCAGATTTGCCACCCCAAAGAGCTGATCTTGATCTAATTTTGCTTTTCCTTTAAAGTCTACTATGCTGGCAAAAGGTGAGTAATAAGATTGGTATTTGCTATGAGATACAATTGTATAGTTTACTATTGACTATAGCTCTTCTGTGAGTAAATATAGCCTCGCATAGCACAAAGTGTACAGTCGTGTTTAGAATATGTTTATATTTCAAGTGATTTATTTTTTGTGCTAAAGATAGTTT